TTTTAAGAGTTTTAGTCAAATGCTTTATAATATAGTATAGATTATACATTTAGGTTTTTGTTTGTTTTTTCATTTTCATCTCTTAACTACAACTTATATATGATTCGTTTAGACATTTTATTATTCATACTGTTTATTTTTTTTTTTTTTTCAGAGTCTCTCTTCTCATTTAATAGAGTCTGAATAAATAAGAGATAAATTGATATTTTAATTCCTCTTATTTTCACTTTTTTTATTCTCTTTGACTATTACTTCTTTCTCCATCAGGGACGTCACATTCATTTCATCACCCATGTGAAATGTACGTCTCAACTTCTCTCTCTCTCTCTCTCTCTCTCTCTCTCTCTCTCTCTATATATATATATATATATATATTTATTTAAAATTATATTACAACTTTAATTGTAATTTTGTTCTTATTTGCATGAGCTTTCAACTTTTGCTTTGTTAGCCTTTTTGTATTTTCTCATTTTGATTTAACTTCGTTTAAACAAAAATGTTTAGTTAGATTGTAAAATGATACACCAAAATTTCAAGCCGACCAACCCAATCCAACCAGCAAGGTTTGAGTTGGATTGGATTGTAGTTTTGCTTGGGTTGGTTTGAGTTGAAAATTTTCAAATCGCAAACATTTGATTGTGTAATTCAAATGTATTCAACCCGGTCAACTCAACCTTTATGCAGCACTAGTTGTCATGTTCATCTAAATTATGGCATAAAAATGTATATATATGCAAAAAAAAAAAAGTTCACACTTATAACTAATAATTACATAAACATAAGGGGACGAAAACCCATAAAATTGTGATAACCTTGAGAACTTGTGCATCATGTACTATTTTACATGATTATTTTTCCATCCACATCTTGAATTTAGTGTATTGATTAACATATATTTGTTTGATACATGATTTGTTTTACAATATGAACATTTTCTATGTGTTTGTGAAACAAAAAAAATATAATTAAAAAGTTTCACATCATAAATTGAATACAAATGAAACAAACTGTGAACAAATATATGTTAACCAATATATTAAATTGTAGCCTTAGATGGCAAAAGAACATGTGAAACAATATCTTACGATAATAATTCTCATATTTATCATAATATATGAGGTTCTCAAATGATTAAACCACATACAAATAATACAACTTATCACACTTTGTAAGTATTATAAAAAAAGTTTAATGTGTACAAGAATAATAGCAAATACATGAAGATGTAATCAATTCCTTGACATTTCAAAATGTGAATAATAGCATATTTCACCACAGTTAAAAGTGTAAAAATTAACAAGCAATTTGCCACAGCAAATTTTCCCACACAGTGCAAAACATATACTTCTAAATTATACAGACTTTTAAATGTGTAAATACGATTAATTTGTTGTAATGATATAAACGTGCGAGTCTTTTTCGTAAAAACAGGTGGCTACAAGCAAAGCATGTGGTCGTCCTGGGATTAGTCGACTCATATAGTGGGTTGGATATCCAGGTTAATAAAAGAACTTTAAATTAAGTACAATGTGTACCTCATGTAAGTTGCAACATAAAGTTTGCGTTTTCTTAAGATTATTCTTGTCCAACCAAGCATCAACGTACGGTCTGAAGACGGTAAAATAGGTGTTTTTTTTCCAGTTTTATTGAGACGATGATTTCAAGCACAAAAGGATGCTGATCAAATCACCCGTTAAGCAATAATCTTTCTTGCATCGCGCCTCTCTTCGAGGCCCTAAGATCTTAAACCCGAGTGCAAGGGCGGATGCAATGTTAAAAAGGAGGGGGGAAGGGAGCCCAGTCAAAAATTTTAAAACAAGTTATAGGTTAAAATTTAGGTTTTACATGCATGATTTACCTTTCACTTCCTCCATTACATTTTTCCACGGGCCCACAACCCCAATCGAAACTGTTACTCTAACGAAAAAAATCTATCGAAATCAATCAAAAAAACCAAAAAAGTTATTCGAAATCGACAAAAACACTAAAAAAATCTCTCGAAATCAACCAAAAAACTTTAAAATTCCCTCGAAAACGTGGTAATTAGGTTAAAAACACATCAGACGATTTTGCGGGTCTTTAATCTACCTTAAAGGTGACCCCGCTGAACAAAAATCTTGGATCTGTCACTGCCCGAGTGTATGGTTTAAAGACAGTAAGATAAAAATTAATTTTAACAAGATATTGATTTAAGTATATAAAGATAGAGAGATTTAGATGATTCATCAAACAATAATCTTTAATTGCACCTTTGTTCGAGGCCCAAGATGTTAAACTAGAGCTTGTATTCTTTCATGAGTTTCATGCACTACATCATGAAATTCTTAAATTTGTTTAGGTGTTTTCTGTTTTTTTGAAAAATGTCTCTTATTTACTATATAGTAAGGTGGTATTTTGTTTGCAGAATGTTTTTGGATGAAATGAAATATGTTAAAACAATTTGATTTTGAAGGAATTGGAATGGAATGTTATCAGGTTTGACCACATGTTTGGTTGACAGACATTGGAACGGAATCTGTCTGCTTGGTTCACAGAATATAGCTTTGGAATTGGAATGGAATATTGGTAAATGACCAAAATGCCCTTTTTGGAAATTTTAATTGTGTTAAAATTAAAAATACTTTAATAAAATAATTATTTAATGTGTAAAACAATATAAAATACACAACCCAAATATAACCATAAGTCAAATAACGTTATTAAATCAACGTGGTCGACGGTGGTTCAGATGGACGGTGGTTCAAATTGGTGGTGGCGGCGGTGGTCCAGATCGGTGGTTGTTCAAATCGTTGGTGGTCGGCGGTGATTCAGATCTGTGGTAGTCGTCGGTGGTCGGCAGTGGTTCAGATTGGTGGTGCTTCAGGTGGCGGTGGTCGAATGTGGTTCAGATCGACGGTGGCAAACGGTGATTCAGATAGATAGTAGTTGGCGGTGGTTCAAATATATGGTGGTTCGTAGTGGTTCATATGGCGATGGTCGACAGTGGTTCAGATCAGTGGTGGTCCATGATGGTTCAGATAGTGGTGATCGGCAGTGATTCAGATCGATGGATTAAGCACATACTCCTAGACTATGGCCTAGCTACGAGAAATCAATCAGTGACTTTGATTTATTAAGATAATTAGAAGAAAAATAAGTAAAAAAAAGAATAAGAAAAACATAAAACAACTAAGATCGAACAAAATGAAACAAAATACATACCAACAAGCACCGAGTAATGTCAACTTCAAATTTTCGGTAATGGTGAGGATTTGTAATGCAAAACTACTTTAACCTTCTTTTGATATGGAATTTTTTTTTTCCTAAACCAAGACTGATTTATTTTCGCAATATGCGTACGCTAGAAAGAAACATCAAGATTAAAACGAATATTATTCTTTAATATACACTCTCAACTATTTTTATGTTAAGATCGTAGTCATTGACCAATTTGATCTTATGTAAGAACCGTTTGAATCAAAACCCTTCAAATGAACTAAACATTTTCTAAAAATCAATTCATTAAACACCAGCTTCTGTTAGGTGAAAAACCTGTCAACCAAAATCTAATATTTGTTATAAAAACAACTGATGAATACCACAACATCAATTCAACGTGACGATTACCCAAATGAAAAGAAGATAAAGTAATAAAGGAAACCTTAAAGAATACGATAAAATTAATCTAAGATAGCTGTAAAGATCTATTCAAAGAGTATCACTCTTTAATTATCGTTTCTAACCTATGAAAGCAATAAAATTAAGTTTAAAAACAATGCAAAAATTAAATAAGGGAATTTAGATAACAAGTAAATGTAAAATGAGATTGAATATTAAACAAGAAAAACTATAATAAGCTAAATAAACTTAAACATTAAATAAAAACTAGAAGAGTATTCGTGTAATACAGCGAGACACATCTCGATTTTAATGTTCTATTTTATTATTTGTTTCTGTCGATGTTATAATATGATTTTATGTGTTTTTAAGAAAATAATAATTATTTTATTTTTGAATAAAATATAAATTTGAAAATATCATAAGAATTGGAAAAATATATATTAATGTTAATATCAAATCAACTATTTAAAAATTCTCATTTTTTGTAATTTCTTTAATTTATTTTCTTATTATGATTTAATTTAAGTTTAATAACGAAATAATTTATTTTTGGTTTAATAATATAATTTTTTATAAAGATAATGATTAAATATTCTGTTAGAACTTAATGATTATCTTAATTATATTTTAGATTTTTTATATTTAAAATGATTTTATCATGTATTTAATTATGTTTATCCGCAGTTAATTACATGAATTCAAACATGAAGCTTTCGTAAGATGTACGCATGCATATCCTACTTGTAATCTTGAATTTTAAGTAATATACATCAATAAACAGTATTTTATGCATAAAAAATTGTTTTTAATAGTTTTAATCAAATGCTTTATAATATAGTATAGATATAAAGAGTAAAGTTCACTTTTGATCCATAACGTTTGTTAATTTCAACGGTTTCCGTTCTCCAACTTTATTTTAACAGATGTGTCCCTCGCGTTTGGCATCTTTGCAACGATTTTTCCCCCTCCTTGTAACGACTGTTAACTTTTTTCGTTAAGTCCAATTAATTGAGGGGTATTTCAATCATTTTATTTTTTCTAATAAAATATTTTATATGTGTAGATAAATATATTAATACATATTACTTAAAACTCAAAATTGCAAGTAGATTGTCCGTAAGTACAACTTATTAAAGCTCTATATCTGAATTCGTGTAACTAACTGCAAATAAACATAATCAAATACAGGATAAACATCTCATTTTATATATCAAAAACCTAAAATATAACTAGGATAATCATTAAATTCTAATAGAATAATTAATTATTATTTTTATAAAATTTATAATATTAAACCAAAAATAAATTATTTCATTATTAAACTTAAATTAAGTTATAATAAAATCTATATTTATACTATATTATAAAGCATTTGACAAAAACTGTTAAAAATCACTTTTTATGCATAAAGTACTGTTTAATAATGCATATTACTTAAATATGGTCTTGGTGTAAACTACAAAGATGTAGTAGACACTTCAAGCTTTCTAATTATATATTATACATCTAATTTGGACTAACAAATGATTTTATACGAATTTTACAAGCAAGCTGCAATTCACAACTTCGAATTTTACAACCAAAACAATAGAATTCCATTCCATTTGATTTTTTTAATAACACCAACGTTATTCTCATTCTAATTGACCTTCTAAGCATAAAATCAAGACACTTTAACATCATCTTTACCATTCACCATAAGAGACTACCCAAAACTCACCTAATACAACTCGTACGGGTCAACAAAACATGGATGTTATGGTATCTTCATCGAGGTTAGGCCATTAATTAACGACCAAAACATGGTAGTTGGTCCTATGTATTCATTTTATATCTCAACTGTGTTTTTCATGATCTTTTTGCTTTTCTGACTTCTTTTATGTTATTTTTCAGCTCAAGAAATTTCCAACTTTTTTTGGTTGTTTATAAATGCATTTTTGCGAACATTAGCGTAGGTAGTTTGTTTAACCAAAGTTTAATTGATGTATATGATTGCACATTTGGATGCCTTTTCACTACAAGCATATTGGTATTGATAGTTTGTTCAAGCTAAAGTCGAAAGGGTTATACTTTTCCTTCTTTAGTCATTGTGTTTTCGTATTTCCTGTTTATTACACATATTTAATTATCTATCAGTTTACAAAAACAAATAAGCTTATTGGTTCGACTTTCAAGCTTTAGTACCACCTTATGTCAATAAGGGGTGTTTGAGATTGCTTATAAAAATAACTTATTGACTTATTTCGATGTGATACCGGTAATAAGCACTTTTAAGTATTTGGATAAACAACTTATATCGGTGCCAAAAACTAGTAATAAGGAGTTTTTGAAGAAATTAAACTCTTCTGACTTATAATAAGTTGACAAGTGCTTATGTAGAAAAGAATAAGTTGTTTCAAATAAGCGATCCCAAACACCCCCTAAGAATTGAAAAGAAGACTTCAAAGTTTAGAACTGCTTAATAAACAAACACCACCTTGATAGATGAGAAAGATGACATTACCTTAGAATGTGAAATTGAAATGCATTACAATAAGGACTGAAATGTTAAAATTGGTAGTTTAGGGACTATTTTTGAAGTTTCTCTTTAATGATTATGAAACGTTGTCGTATTTACCTCTCACTTATCTTCATATCCGAAATCGTCGACAAGCTTCACTCAGCCTCGCGGTATCACCATCAATAACTTGACGAAAAGGCAATTTTCCTGTTCTTCATATCATCAAAGATTGAAATCCTTTCACCCCTTCAGGTTAAATCTCAATCTTCCATCAACCTTTTGATTCTATCTGTTATTTTATCTGATCTAATTTGATTGAATCAAAACCAATCTCATTTAAATTCGTGCAATTCGGATTTTCAGGTTCAGCTTCAAAACCCCTAAATTGTTGGCCTAGTATCTTGATTAATCTTTCTATTTTTTGTAAATTTTCTGCAAATTCAGCTCAGATTCAATTCACACACCTTGCGTTTTGATCGGAGGAGTCATGTTAGGAGAGATCACATTCTTGCTAAGCTAGGACTTTTCGGGTTTTTTATTTTGGTATGGCCAATTAGGGGTGCTCTGGATTTAGGATCAATGAAGTTCTTTAGTGATATAGTTCATATCATTGTGCCTGTTTTCTACGATACATGTTTCTTTTTGTACTTGTGTTTATCTTCAGTCTTTCTGAGGCATTGCAGCTTAAACAAAATTAGTTGTAAGATGGAAACGATATGTCACTAATTGAATCTGTTTAGATTATTTACCAATTTCTGTTTGATAAAAGGTTAGTTACAGAAGTTGAAGATTTTTTTTTCTTTTTTTTTTGGGGGGGGGGGGTTGGGGAATCTAGGTTTTGTGGTTGACTGGTTGTAATCACTTGGATAATTGCTTGGATTGTGTATGGAAATCACTTTCCAAATACNACTTGTGTTTATCTTCAGTCTTTCTGAGGCATTGCAGCTTAAACAAAATTAGTTGTAAGATGGAAACGATATGTCACTAATTGAATCTGTTTAGAAGTCGATGGAGATGGTTTTGTTTGCTAGGGAGGTTATATGAGGTAAAGATTAGGTTTTTTTTTTTTTGGGGGGGGGGGGGTTGGGGAATCTAGGTTTTGTGGTTGACTGGTTGTAATCACTTGGATAATTGCTTGGATTGTGTATGGAAATCACTTTCCAAATACTATATTTCGGTCTTACCAATGCCTTAGGTTACACTGACAATCTAGGAAATTCTTGCATGCTTTAAGGCACAAACTCGTGTATTCATATTCACCAGATCAACTGTTTATGTATTTGTAAGAGACGACGTTACGGGAGGTTAGGTGGCTAACATGTAACTGCACAACAGTTACAGCCGCTTACGGATAAGATTAAGTGACATACAACCTACTCAAAAGCACCTGCTCAGAAGGACTCGGAAGCTCTGGGTTAAAACTAAGAAGCTAAGGAGAAGGCTCAGAAGCTCCGAGTCCAAATGCTTCTTATTCATACTTGGGCAATTTTCATTTAAATTTCAGAACTGATTCCACCTAAAACTTAAATTTTCTAAGTAATCCTCTTCATTAAATTCGTAGAGGTTTCAGGGTGCTTCCCCTTGGACCCCGCAAGGAGGCGCAACCCCCTTGATCCCTGTCTTATAGCGATCTAAGGTGATAGAGGCAACATTTGTGAGGGTGCACTCCGCACCTCCTAACTCGCATTATGTTTGCCTTATCGACTAATCGATCTCAAGTAAATCATAGTTGCACCAAAATGGATTGATAACACTAAAATCACTGAACTGGGGGGGGGGGGGGTGTTGTTTCTTTTTTTTTTGGAGGGGGGGAGGGTAATACAGCTCAAAAAACGCTTGCAGAACTATCAATTTGTATTTTTCAACACTCAAATTCTATTGTTGACGTCAAAAGGAAAATTATCTTGGCATTCACATTTTCTGGTACTGCAACTCAATTGTTATATATATTACATTATCCACTTCCTTTCAGTAGTGGGAAATTATGATTCCAATTAAGATGCATGTGTGTAATTCTATAGCTTATAAATGTATGCATGGTTTTAAAGCTCTACAAGGAATTTTAGGAAAGTTTTCTCATTTTTGTTTTTACAGAGTTTTGACCAAGATGACACCTGTTTGCCCTTTTGTCAAAGCTTCTCGGCCTGATGATGTATCTTCAAAAAAGTCTAGTGAAATCCAAAATAAACAGCAAGGATGCCCAATGAGTAAAGAAATCCAAAATAAGCAGCAGGGATGCCCAATGAGTAAAGAAATCCAAAATAAGCAGCAGGGATGCCCGATGAGTAAAGAAATCCAAAATAAGCAGGAGGGATGCCCGGTGAGTAAGGTTAAGCAGGATTCTGGGGACTCTGGTGTCATCTCTCCAAAATGCCCCTTTGGATATGATTCTCAGACTTTCAAGCTGGGCCCCTTCAGTTGCTTGATATGCCACGCTCTACTCTTTGAATCTAGCAGATGTGTTCCTTGTACTCACGTGTTTTGCAAGTAAATATACCAGAAACGAAATTTTCTATTGATATCATGCATATGTATATCACTTTATATTCTTGTCCTCCTTCAGTACTCTAAATTGAGGGTGTTGGCTGTTCTTTTTTTTTTTTTTTGTGTAATTTCAGAGCATGCATAGGACGTTTCAACGATTGTCCTCTATGTGGTGCTGACATTGAGAAGACGGAAGCTGATGCAAATCTTCAAAGCGTAGTTGATCGCTTTATTGATGGTCATGCTAGGATTAAGCGGTCTCCAGTTGATACAGACGAGAAGCAAGTAGTCGGAGAGAAGAAAACAGTGATATACGAAGATGTCTCCTTGGAAAGAGGTGCTTTCTTGGTACAACAAGCTATGAGAGTAAGTTGTAGTTACCATATTCAGCATCTTGTTAGGATGAAAAGTATGTTTTCCCCATGTTTTCATTCAGATGATGTTTTTTTTTTTTTACTTTAAATTAGATTAAATTTGGAGGATTTAGTTTGTGTTATTCACAAGAAGGTCCTGCTAAAACTGAAGGACAAGTTTTATCGGGCAAGCTTTGTCATTTCTTCTTGCACACTTTGCACAAGCCGGGGGTTTTCACAAAAAACAACCGCTCTACTCTTCAGGGTAGAGGTCATCTCTGCTTACATCCCACCCTTCCCAGACCCCACCTCCAGGTGGGACATACTGGGTTTGTTTGGTTTTTTAGTTTATGTCGATTGACATTTTTCTCCTTGACCGGTCTACCTAATTGTTCTGCATCACATGCAGGCATTTCGTGCTAATAATGTAGAAAGTGCCAAATCAAGACTAAGTTTATGTGCACAAGACATACGAGAACAGCTGGAAGTAGCGGGGAACACATCCGAGTTATGCTCACAGTTAGGTGCTGTACTGGGTATGCTCGGTGATTGCTGGTACGTATTATGTGTGCTATGGACTTCCATAGCCGTCAATCATTATTTCTTTTTGTGACGTATGAGATCTTGGTGAAGTTTACGGCTTACCTAGCATGGGTTTCGTAAATAATGAAAAAAAACTTGTGATTAGGTGTCATGGTGTGAATGATTTTGATGTAAATAACAAACACACCTTAATATAAATCCGACTTCCTCAAAGTAACGATGCTAATGTTATTGTGCAGTCGGGCGATGGGAGATGGTAGTTCTGCAGTTGCTTATTTTGACGAGAGTGTCAATTTTCTCTCGAAAGTACAGACGGAGGATTTAGAGGTATAAATATAATCTAATATTTGTATCTTTATAAGTTGTGATAAGCTTAAATGTTTTTAGTCGAACCATGTGCGAATCCTTTTGCATCATTTAGTCGTTATGACGGATAAACTTTAGATTGGAACGCCTTCTAAATTACAGTGGAATATTTGCAGGTCACACATACACTTTCGGTTTCCTTGAATAAAATTGGTGATCTTAAATATTATGAAGGGGACTTACAAGCGGCAAGGGATCATTACTTTCGGGCTCTAGATGTTCGTCGCAATGCTATCAAGGATTCATCTAAAGCTCCGTCTCAGGTGGAAACTTTTTTGTCCATTAGATATGAAATAATACAGCCAATATACAATCATGTTTGACTTCTTATAATAGTACAAATGCCATGGTGGATACAAGTGATCTGGATATTCTTAGACTATGTTGGTTACCCAACGGATGATTGCAACTCTAAATCAGGTGGGTCAGAGAATGAATGATCCACGAGAACTCAGAGTAGAAAAGAACAGAGAAATATAGAGAATAAGGGAGGAAGGTAATTCTATTCATGATGATACCCAAACTCTTACAATGCAGAATATAAGGGAAAAATAATAACAAAAAGTAACAACCAACTACAGGATATGTTGAGACCTGTCCTTTTTAGAAGGGATGTTGACATCTGCAAACAACCAAATCTATTTATTTAGGTCAGAATTGCCCTTGATCTTTTGAGTCGTAACATTATAATAGTACAAATGCCATGGTGTATACAAGTGGTCTAGATATTCTTAGGCTATGTTTGGCAAACTATAAGATAGCTGGTAGCTGAAAAGCTCGTTGTTGGCCAATAAGGTAGCTAATAAACTTAAACTAGTCACTTTTGGTAATGTAAAGTTACATATAAAGATGGGGTTTTTTGGTTAGTTATGTGAAACATAAGGGGTATAAATGGAAAAAAAAACCCATGGAGCTTTTTGAAGAGCTCTTACATAGGGTTTTTTGGTCGTTTATGTAAAATATAAGGGGCATAACCCCTGGAGCTTTTTGAAAAGTTCCTAGATAGGGTTTTTGGGTTGTTTACTTAAAATATGAGGGGCATAATTGACAAAAAGTGAAAAAAAGTCTCTGAAACTTATTGAAGGAGCTTTTCAAAAAGCTAGCTTAAACGAGGTTTTTTCAACAAGCTCAAAAAATAAGCGAGCCTATGTGGAGCGTGCTTACATATTGCAAGTGAATATCCCAATAAATGGACGAAACCGTGTCTCAGTTGTGTAATATGTTCTGATCACAATTTTTTTGATATGGGCAATCGATCTGTAACACTATTATACAATGGTTTAATGTAGCTTATGCATAATCAGATTCCGTTTGTTGTTTCCAGGTTTTAGATGTGGCTGTATCTCTTGCAAAAGTTGCTGATGTCGATAGAAATCTTGATGCCGAGGATACAGCAACTGAAGGATTTCAAGAAGCCATAAATTTATTGGAATCTTTGGAAATAAAGTCGGAAGAAAATGCACTGGAACAGCGGGTAAGAAACCCTCTTTTAGAATCAACAATCACATACAGTATTAATGATTGGAAATGAGAACTCATATTTCCTCCGTCCCAAAATAATGTCGCACCATTTTTCCCTAGAACCGGACTTCTGAAGGTAAAATGAACCCATTTGACCTAAAAAAATCAAATACAACCCTTTACATCTCATAGTGATTTGGACACTGGACCTTTAGTGTGTGTTTAATCTCGTTCTTTTCTTAAATGCAGCGGCTTTCGGTGCTAGATTTCCTCAAAAATCAACTCTCCAAGAAGCAATCCGACTGAAATTCAAATGGGGAACGATTTGCCCCGTTTTCCACATCTCCTCGGAATGAAGGGCTTGGTGAGTTCATCATAAGGAGCTAAGTCGTATATTGGTCGAGAATAATAATATATATCAAGGCCTGGTTTTCCGTTTTCTATAAAATGCACTGAAGCCAAGTGTTGTGGTTGTGTACCGGAGCTCGCGCTCATATGTTTTTACCGTGTAAATAAGTGATGGAGGTATTGCTGTGTTCATGATCTTTTAGATTCAAGAATTATATACATAATGTTTATGTAATGTAATGTGTTGGTTATCAGACTTTGGGGTTGCATTTGTCAAGTGAATCTTCAAACTTGTTAAGTATAATGAGACAAGTTGTAATGTAATGTGTTGGTTATCAGACTTTGGGGTTCCATATCAACTACCACATCACCAATCCTACCTTTAATAGGGTTCGGAGTCTTATTTGGCATGCAGATTGGACTGAACAGGATAAGACAAGTTGTCTGATATTTGGTTGAACAAACCAAACAGTATATATCCTACCGAAAGTAGAGGTGGTAAACCGGTTAACTGGTCCGTTTGGTTAAAAGATCCAATATTAGTTAAACCAAACCAAATTTTATATATTTTACCCGAAAGTAGAGATGATAAACCGGTTAACTGGTCCAGCTCTTGCCTCCTACATCTTTAACTGGTAGTTTCGAGATAAAAGAAATCCTAACTTGTCTTATGTTTTTTTTTAGGGTAAGATTGGTAAGTGAGGGTGACAATTCTTACGCGGTTAGTGTTTATCGGAAAAATTATTGCATACGATACCATTTTGATGGATTAGAATCTTACCTAGTAAGTACTTATGTGATAAGCGTCTGGGTAAACGCCCCTAAGTTTAATCTTTTTAAGCCTTTAACATGACATGAATTAATAAAGTGATGGTGCAATATTTTGGCCCTAGTTTGTTTTAACAGTTGAAATTGAATGGATTTAGCCATTTAGGTATGGACGGACCTGGCTTGATGGTTGCAGTGGCATGTGCCATCATATTAGGTAAAAAAATTAGGTTCGTGAAAGATGCAGTCGTATCGTTTTGAAAAGTGCAACTGTATCGTTTTGAAAATTTCAAGGGGTGCACCTGAAAAGTGAAAAAAAAAAATAGTATGTTAATTAAGGGGTGCAACCGTAATTAGACTATTAGATGGTGTTTGGTTCATAAAATGTTTTTGGATGAAATGAATTCTGTTAAAAGAATTTGACTTTGAAGAAATTGAAATGAAATGTTGTCAGGTTTGACCACCTGCTTGGTTGGCAGACATTGGAATAGAATCTGTTAAGAAATTGGAATCTGTCTGTTTGGTTCACAGAATGTAATTTTGGAATTAGAATGAAATATTGATAAATAATCAAAATGTCCTTTTTGAGAATTTTAATTTTTTTTAAAATTATAAATACTTTAATAAAATAATTATTTAATATGTAAAAAAATATAAAATACACCACCCAAATATAACCATAAGCCAAACGATGTTACTAAATCAACAGTGATCGGCAGTGATTCAGATCGGTGGTGGTCCATGGTGGTTCAGATCGGTGGTGGTTCTCGGTGGTTCTCGGTGGTTCAGATCGATGGTGGTTCTCGGTGGTTCAAATCGATGGTGGTCCGTGGTGGTTCAGATGGAGGTGGTCAGTGGTAGTTCAGATGGATGGTGGTTCAGATTGGCGGTGGCGGCGGTAGTTCAGATCGGTGGTTATTCAAATCGTTGGCGGTCGGCGGGGTCCGACGGTGATTCAGATCGGTGGTAGTCTTTGGTGGTCGGGAGTGGTTCAGATCAATGGTGGTCCGTAGTACTTCAGGTGGCGTTGGTTGGATATGGTTCAGATCGACGGTGGTTCAGATCGACGATGGATTAGATCGGTGGTTGTTCAGATCGATGATGGTCGGTGGTGGTTTAGATCAGTAGTAGTTGGCAGTGGTTCAGATCGACGATGGATCAGATCGGTGGTTGTTCAGATCGATGATGGTTGGCGGTGGTTTAGAACAGTAGTAGTTGGCAGTGGTTCAGATCGATAGTGGTTCATGGTGGTTTAGATGGCGATGGTCGACAGTGGTTCAGATTGGTGGTGGTCCATGGTGGTGATCGGCGGTGGTTCAGATTGGCAGTGACCGGCGGTGGTTCATATCGGTAGTGGTCGACGGTGGTTCAGATCAGCGGTGGTTCAGATAAATGGTGGTAGGCGGTTGTTCAAATTGGTGGTAGTGGACGGTGGTTCAGATGGCGATGGTCGGCCATAAGTCCCCAAGTCGCCCGGCCTATGCTTCCTGCTTCATACATGACCTTAGCCGTGGGCGCCTTTACACACCGCCTAGGCCGGCCGGTTGGTTGTTTGGCCCACTGATCATGCGTTTCATTGACTCGTATAGCATGTGCCACATTACAGTGGCTTAGGCGACCTTTCCCGCAACTTAGGCTGCGCTAGAAGTCGCTCGGACCTCCTAAAAGCTCAGATCTCACCATTTTTAATCTCATTTTGACCGAACTAACCCGAGATTAAATAAACAAGCTTCAACGACAATTTCCCAAAATTGATACCGAATCCGATAATAATTCATGCATTTCTAAAATACCCAAATATTTATAAAAATACGGGTGTTACAAAACTCTCCTCAAGATTCAAGTGAATCAAGTAAGATCTTAGAAGAATGTGACAGATTTGTTTACCAAATCACTGCCAAATGCAAAATTTTAGAAACATGTGGAAAAAAAATTTGCAAAGACTTTCTAAACTCCCTTGGAGGTGTCTACTAAACACGTACAATAGATGGATTGTGCTTTTTTCTTCGTCCAAAGTTTTATTTTTCCCACCAGGTTTTGTTTTTTGATGTAAGGTTTTAATGAGACAACAATTTATACATCTTCTTGTATTCTAAACCTTTTGATTGATGTACGATGGTAAACTAAAAGAATTGTTTACTAGTGCCTCGTACCCTTTCCTTCGTCTATTTTTTTTTATTTCTCCCACTAGGTTTTGTTTCTTTGGCGTAAAGTTTTAATGACGAAAGAATTATGCATTGTCACCTCTTAGACTCAGCAGAAGGGGAGCGTTGAAGGATTGTTCTATTACAAATGACACTTTTACCCTTAACAAAAGATAGGGTTATATTTAACCTTTTCTTTTCTTTTTTTTTTCACAAGAATAATAGTTTGTCTGTAACAAAAATGATAACAAGAGTTTAAACATTTCTAAAAGATTTTCTGCGACTTGTGTCGAAAAGCCCTAGAGCATAACCCATGTGTCGATGATCGATCAAAACGACAACAACCAACAACACAAGTTCGAAAAATATAGCTTCACATCTATTGGGCATATCATCAGAGACCGAAAACCCATGTCACATTTTGTGAAAACGAAAATCTTGACCGTCTCGATCCTCCTGTCCCATTCGTCAAGTCCGCAGATGATAGTCTAGAGTATACGCACGAATTTCCGAAGGACTCGTGCCAGGCCTGGGTCAAAAAGACCATAAAAATAACTAAAACACTCTTTCAAAATATATCTACCGTACACAAAGATCAAAATACCTCTTGTTGATGATGCCATAGTGAAACTTCGGTTTTCCAACCTTAATGTCCTCTATGTACTGCAGAAACCGAAAAAAGAACGCATAACTTACCAAGCGAAAACAGGACACGAAAAATGGCAACAAGAAGACGTACATACCAAATTTAACGTAACGAGCATTGATGAAAAGGAAAGTGAATCAAAAGGGATATCGTCAAGTGCAAAAAGTCGGCATTCTGATGATTCAGGACCAGGCGAAAAGTGTGGTGTCGTCATCTTCGCCAAGAATATTATGTAAGTCTGCCCCAAAAAGGCGAGTATAGTGAATAAGATATTAAGGAATGAATGAATCTTTGAACCATAAAAGAATAAACAATTTTGGAAATTGCCGTTTTTGTGAATGCAAACTATCGTCATAAGCTACGAGAATAAACAAACCTTGGCCAAGTACCAAGTACAATGGTACAAGAATGTAACCAAATTGCGCTCCGGCTTTAGCATAGCAGGTAAGAAGGTCGGCATTCTGCACTTGCAGGGTGAGTGGTGGGTCTGGGGTTCGACTCCAGGCACCACCCACCTGCCCCTGCGACATGCAATTTACCGCCCCCGTGATGGACATGGGACCAGTAAAGTGGGGGTGCTCTAGAGGGTGGGGTCATACCCTTTTTGCAAAATGGTAGAAAAAATATGTATTCTCTCGGTTTGTCCGAATTGCTCGTTCTTGCAAGGTGTGATTTTTTTTGGCATTTTTGCAAGAACAAAAGTTAGTTTGTAATGAAAAGTGACGGTTAAAAAAGTTAAATATGATGTTTAAGGCATTGTTTGTCTCACCTGGCCTATAAGAGGGATGTCTAACTGAGCAAAAGGGGAAAGCACTTGAACTTTAGCTCCGGCTTCTTCCCATGTCTCCCTCATGGCGCCCTCTGTAGCCGACTCACCAATCTCCATGTAACCAGCTGGAAGTGTCCTGAAAAAAGGTTCATATATTAGGTATCTTGGGCGCATTGGCTGAACTCAAAGTGTTTGAATACCTCAAATATCGTATTCTTGCATATCCAAAGAGAAAATAGTTTTTGACACGTACGCCTAGAGATGAGAAATTTACTCGTGGATATCCGACCCTAACGCAGGATTCCCCACTTTGGTGGTTAACGAGGTGAGGATGAGGGTTTATTTTCATACCTGAAGCAGGGCTAGGGTCGGGGATGATGCTACCCGCCGCTACTCTGACCCCAATTGAACTTTTATTTTGTTATATGTGTGTGTGTATCTATATATATGTATAATTTTATTATACACATTTGATTTTCAATATTGGTAAGTAACTTAGTGGTGTTTCATTGTAATTCTTATTTTAAAATACAATGTTTTCTATTGTCTTTTACTAAACAGGTACCCCAAAGCCATAGGGGATTAGTCGGGGTCGGGGGATGCATTACCCTCCCCCCCTCCCATACCCGCCCAATTTCCATCGCTACATACACCAACATGTGCGTATGTAGAAGTAGTCTAAGGGGTATCTCGTGTTGAGTATTGCTTCTAGAAGAGCCTACAACACATAAGCACGTTGTGGGTCAACCCCACATAGTGTATGGAAGACCACTTCCATAAGCATTATATACATGTACACACACACCCACATATATATATATATATATATATATATATATATTCATAGATCACTTGCGAACATACCCTTTTGGAATGTTTTGTAAATCAATCAAGCATTATACATGTTCACATTCATAAGAAATACGTACCAAAGACCATAAGATGGTTGGATTTTCCGCTTGCATAGCAAGATTTTGTTATCGTGCTCAATTAAGCAACCTACAACCTGAAAAGCACCACTTTTAAGATTTAGATGAAGTATAGAGTGAAAAAGAAAGCACCATGGTCAAACGTTCAAGTTATGGAAACAGCTTTATTGCAAAATGCAAGCAAAGAGCTATAGTCACATAGAAAGGCTTCCCTAATAAAGTCAGAGAGCCTTGGTCCACTTAATGATTAGTAATAGTAAGGAAGTAACTTTGGCTTGAAATTTTGCCCAAAAACGGATAAGTTGAAATTAACATGGAACACCCGTAAGAGAAATTATTGTGTTTATATTGGGACGGAGGGTGTAACAAAAAACAGAACATAGTTTGTGTATACCATTTTCGGATTCTCGTATGCAATTCTTCCACAAAGGGTGCAAATAGCTCTTTCTTTCTCCTCCCCATAGGGTATTTCATGCTTTGTTGGGCCACCACACAATTGACAGAAATTGATCTTACGAGTACTGCCCTGCACAGTGCTACGTTTTACAAATAAGTGGCAAAGAGTATAGATAAAAAATTTGGGTGATTGATATATACCCACACGTCAATACGCTCATAAACCCTTTATTCTTAAACAGTTATTTTCAGTCAATTTGACACAAATGTTTGAAAGAGGTGGAGGCACAATTGTTCATTGTTTAGTTGAACACCTAACCCTCGTTGAACTGTGTAATAATGTTAAACTAATTTTAGTGAGTTTAGTCAAAATTCAAATTAAGGAAGATGATCAAAGAGTTTGGTAGTCAAGTGGAGATCATACATGATGAAAATTTGTAGCTTAATATGTGAGTTTCTGGTCAAACTAGCAACTTTGGTTACAATGGTTGAAATGTTGCGGCGCAATCACCAAAACATTACACCATTTTTAAAATTTTAGATGGTTTTCACACTTGAGCTTTCTCTAAACTTGATGGTACTATTCGTGGATTTTAGACTGTTTTGGAGATATCAACCAAAAGTTGGTTCAAATATCATAATCTCTTAAGTAGTTGGGGTAGATGAAAGGCCTGCGTACATCTCACCCCCCATAAGTGTGCTACTTCTGACTTCGAAGTGGGATACACTGGGCTCGTTTGGTTTGGTTTGCTTCAAGTTCCAAGGTGGACAGACGCTTTTAAGAAACATGTACAAGCCGCTTGTAGCTCATTCTTTATTTGTCCTGCCAGATATTGTTTGTTCAAAGAGTGTTTACAAGGTTTAGTTAGGTGAGATTGCAACAAGCTTCCATTAAAGGGGTTTGATTATTTGATTGAAAAGTTTATTATCGGATGATTGTAGACCGTCATGAGCGGGATGTTATAAACTGATTGTATGTTCTACATTTTAACTAGTATAAAACAAATAATTATTTCAACTCTAATAACCAAACGGGTATGGGGAGGTTGGGATGTATGCAGACCTAATTTCTACCCCAAAGAATAGAGCAGTAGTTTCAGTCAAGACCCCCGGCTTTCAACTCTAAGGAGAATGAAAATATAAATGTCAAACCTAGGGACCTAATTGACAATCTGGATGCTTTAAGTAAAGCTTGACCAGGGGTTAGCTACAATCGAGCAATTTGAACTCGATCGTTAAACAGGTGACTTCTTTCAAGAATCCTTTGGGGGTGACCTACCCGGACAAAGTGCCATAATTGAATACATCTTTCCTACACTTCATATAATCCAGTAGCTTGACTTTTTTTAGAAATTCAAAAGATGGCATCAAACCTAGGGAGTTTACTTTCTTTTCCATCAAGTCCTGTATGGGTTAAGTTTTGTCTGTCCCTGAGGGGCGGGAGACCGATAGGTTTGAGGAAGACAAAAGAGAGAGGATTGAATACTTTATATGGCATTTATGGTATTAGTTTGTTTGCAGTGGCTTAATGGTAACAAGTGAGGGATCCTAGCTTATTCCATGTAGCCATCTTTGGCTTAATGGCTTGACAATTAAGTCGTAAAAAAACACTCGTGTATGGCTGCACGAATAAGCAGCCCAGACCATCAAGCTGATTAAGCCATAAGTAAACAACCCCTAACTGGTTATGCTTTTATCAAGATTTTATACCATAAATTAAGACCCCCAGTCTATGCATACGATGACTCCCAATATGATCAGATATCAATCAACAATTATCAAATAAAAATATGATGCAATAAGAACCACAATATTCAAGAAATCGTCAGAAAGAACAGTTTTAAAACATGCAATCCACTTACACAACCCCCAAAAGTGTGTTGCTAGAATGCAGGAGTTCATCTTTACATATGCAATAAGAAATGCAATTTTCATAAAATCAAACAACTTATAATCGACTTAACAATGCCAAAAGAATTTCCGAAAAACTTACAGTTGATCTAAAAGTGGGAGATGAGGTTGAAGATGAAGAAGGCGAGGTTCCATCTAGGTTTGACTCGGAACGAATTGAAGATGCTCGAAATTGTCGAAAACAACGACCCGTGCTTGATGTTATTATCAGCGGTGTTCTTGAAGACGGTGGCGCAGAAATCGAAATAAAAGAGAGCCCAGATTGACTTCCATGAAGTTTTAATCGGTGAAACAAGAACCCTGAAGAGGAACCAAGAAATTGTATGCTTCTGAGCATTATTCTGCTTAGCTGTAAGCTGTTCACATACAATTTAACGAAATCTTGGAAGAAGGAAAGGGAAATTGAGGAAGCGTTGAATCCCTTGTAGTGATTTTGTTTATCCTTTTTTATGCAAATTTCCCCCAAATCCAGTTTTGGAACCATCTTCATCCAAAATGTTCAAACTTTAAAGAGCCAACAACAAAAGTGGTCCTTGAACTATGCTACAATCTACAGGTTTGCTCCTTCAACAAAAAAAATATATCTTGGGTTACAAAATTCTCTTTTTACTTACATTTTTTATCCAAATTTATCTGCTTGTTATGTAGTTTATTTGATATTTGATATATTTTTCTTAAATTTATCACTAATATTTAAATATTTGATTATTGATTAAAAACTATTATTAAAATACAAATAAGAAAGTTTATCAAACCATACAAGTCTGCTACATGACATTTGGGTTATTTGAGATTGAGATTGCTTATTTGAAACAACTTTATGTTTTTTTGCAAAAGCACTTATCAACTTATTATAAGTCAGAAGAGTTTAACTTCTTCAAAAACTATTTATTATTGATGCCAAATAAGTTGTTCATCCAAACACTTAAAAGTGTTTATTACGCCGGAATAAGTCAATAAATTGTTTTTATAAGCAATCTCAAACACCTCTTAAATCGTGTTGTTTAGAACTTTTATGGTATGTATTTTTGCTTTGTTTAGGGTTATGGATTACAAAATCGTAATTCAAATGTACATGTCATTCAGATGAAGTGGGTTTTCTTAGTTTTTCATTTTTCCTAAAAAAATTTCTCGCTATATATATACACACACATCCTCTACATATATATATATATATATATATATATATATATATATATATTTCAAATAAGAATGCTAAAAATCATAAGATAAGAAGAAACCTCATATACAAAATCATTGAAAAATCAATTCGAAGAGGCATACATTAACCCATATAAATAATCCTAGAACGTAGATTCACATATACTTCTTTAAATAAAAATATTCGGATTTTTTCAATGATTCTAATATGAATCTCTCTTTTAACTTTCTCTTTCTTTTCATATTTAACCTTCTTAGTGGAAACGACTCTTATATATAAACTTGCTACATCCAATAAACACGGGCCACGGCCGAAGTTCAAATGTTAAACGACCAAAACGAATAAATAGTATCCTTTTTATTGCATGTACCAGTCTTAATTGTGGCAAAGAGATCATGTCATTTAATGGTTCAGAAACAACTTAATAATAACTTACAATAACAAAATCTAATGCATCTACCACCTTTCAATGCTGCTTGCTACCACATTTTGACCTTAAAACCGACACGACCATCATCCGCTGCTGAACCTCATGTTACGTTATGCGACTCTCATATTTAGCGATGATCCAAAAACCAAACATAATAACATTAAATCAATCATACAGCATGTTTTTCTTAATTCAGAGCCAGCTTATCGCACAAAGATTGATATGCAGCGCTGCAGACCTTGAATTTCTCCTCAGCAATAGCCTGTTCACCAACGCCATCTTATTAATTTTGTTTCAACACCGCTTCAAGAGTATATATATATATATATATATATACATATACATATATAAAGAGAGAGAGAGAGAGAACAAGGGGGTTCATACGAGAATGGACCTATTTAGGAAAATAAGAAAATGGCTGGCCAAATTACGTACGAAATCAGATGTGATTTTACATTAACGGCCAAAAAAGTGAGTGGGCGACCCTATGGTCGCATGGCAAGGTCACATGAATCACATGTGATTTTGTATGTGATGTTAGTGTAAAATCACATGTGATTCGGTCATTTTCTTATTTTATTAAACAGGGTATCATTCTCGTATGAATTTGACTCTATATACACAAGGGGTAAGTATTATGATCCTGTGTCCCACACACAGAGCAGGGACCTTTCCTATACCCCAAAAGGTAGAGATTAGATAGGCTGTTTCCTTGAAGACCCCTGACTTACAAGAAAGTTTTGCAAGAGAGTACGACTTTTATGCACACAAAGTACCACACTCTTGTCCGCTTACTCTTGATCCAAAAGAAATCCGCTTTTACAATTTAGAATGAACTTGTGTACACATTTTTAGGAGGAGCTCCCTGTTGATTAGATGCATCAACAAGACAACTCATTCTCTTAACATAAGCTATAAAAATGGGATTTTTAACCAGACAAAGAGAATTTGTAAAGTCAACTATTTTATAGGAAGGCGGGCGTAATATTTGTTCAAGGAATCAATTTTTTTCCCTATAATCCCACCTTCTAAGTGAACGCACAACTTCTAAGCACCAAAATGCAGGTTCACAACCAAGCTCCTTTCGGCAAAGATTGTGGGAGACACCATGTGTTTTCACACGACATTTTCATGGTATCATGAATATTATACTAGAATCTAATGTACTCGCATAGTTAACCTAAGGAACCTAGCATAAGTTAGTAAAGAATCTATATCAATTTCATATTTGAAGAGTAAAAGGTTTGACACCACGGGTTGTGTTCCGCTTAGAAGGAGAGTTAAGGTGAGAAGTGTAAGAAGGGATCTCCATCCTTGGGTGCACATTAGGATGAGATGCACCGAGATGAGATGCACCGGATCAATCCCTGTATCAAGCGCATGGGTGGGTTTGAGATTAAAGGTGATCAAGGGTCCAGATCCTTTTTTACGCTTATATTTAATCTATCCTTCTCACACGATCCTTCGCCTTGACGCCAAATGGTTCAAAAATGTTTCCTTTTTTGGATATAAATAGAATGCATCGTACCTTGGAAGAACCCTCATGACGATCTGGATGCCATTTAAGCGCGCATACTCGGTATCTGGAAACCAGAGTATGACAGAAAGATCAGTAACCAAAGTTTTAAATTCTCACGATATAATTATAAAAAACAAGGAGAAGCTCAAAAAGCTTACGCATTTTTAACATCGTCAAGGCTTAAAGGGCCAGAACCACTTAAACCAAGGGTCATCCTATCTTTTGTTAAATTAGTTTCGACTCTGTCTGACTCAGATGAGAATTCATCTTCATCTTCATCTTCATCTTCCAACCGGTGTCTCCAACTCCGTGAGGTCCGATGATTACTATGGAAGCCTGATGAGCTCCTCGGTGGTTCATCATTTATGAAGGACCAAAAGTAGAACCCATTTCCACCAAATGCAGAGCGGAAAATCGTTTCTACTTCTTCAACATCTTCATGGAACTGGTATCCTTCTGAAGATGTGAAAGCATATTTTAACATAAAACTCATAATATTTTGTTTAGCTCTACAGATCAAATAAATACTTGGTACAGTAAAAAATCTACCGTTGGTTTAGCTATGTTGTATAATTTAGTGTAATGAAAGAAAAAAAATCTCGTTCTAACCAAGTTCTAAAACTTACAACTTTGCACCCATTTTGGCCGAAAACCTGCTGATCTTGTAACACTTGATGACGTGGATACTCGTTTACAAAAGGGTAACGGCAAAGTGAATTTTGACATCTACGTCAGCAAATGTTACAAGATCAGCTGGTTACCAGTCAAAATTTGGTACAAATAGGAACCAAGGAAAACTTCATTACATTTTGATGCATTTTGTCCTATAATTATATGATGCCTAAATGCAATTGTGATCCACCTCATTCTATTTGTCTGTCTTTAGGGTGTATTTTATGATGCCTAATTGAAATCGTAATCTCTAATATACTAGTGAAAAACCGATCTAATACTCATATCAAGATCAACAACTAATGTTCTTACTGATTCTGATGATCAGGTTCTTAATTTCTTATCCTTTTTATAGTAGCAGCATATGCACTTCTTCTACTAAATCACTACTCACAGTGCAAGAAAACTTACTTCTGCGGCCTGTAGCCCGAGGCCCCTTGCTAGCTCTGTTCCCATTGAAACCCCCAGACATATTGAAACCTTTAAACGAGGAGCTTCCATGACTTGAAGATGGGTCGAATTCATCAAAATCACGCCACCCCTAAACATTTGGAAAGACATCCATAAGAATATTAACAGAGTTTCATGAGCTTTGTAACAGATACAAGACAAAGTTAAGGAATTCATCTTCACATCATAAAAATGCACAAAAGAGAATCTAGTTGTGGGTAAGAAAGGCTTCGCTGTGGCCGTGTTTTGATGTTGATCAATGTAATTAAATGGAAAGTATTCAGAGCTCCAACCACATTGTAAAGGATGGAAGTTGTTCTCGAAAACATCCTAGAAGCTCATATTTTACTCGATGTTGGTGTAAAATTTTGAATAAAGTTTTCCAAGGGTTCCGTCCCCTTTTTCCCAGAAAAACGGCTAGACCAACTAAACAGTGATACTTATATGTGGGATTGTGGGATTTACCTGGAAAAGGTTTTCTGTGAAGGCATTAGCATTCCTCAGCAACTCTTGTTTAGCATAAAACTTTCTTTGTCTTCTTGAATTGAAATTGGGTCTCTGCAAATACCAGGAAGCAGCAATAATCGATTCCAACATCAAAGAAAGAATTTTATGATTTACAAGCAAGTGCTTTGTGCTAAAGTCAATAGATGGCAAAGGTTATGGATAATGGAAGTAATATTTGTGTAGCTTATTTGAAATTTTCCTTTCATTAAGCAGAAACGACAAGGTAAATATATTATCAATAACTATGTTTTGCAAGTTCTACTAACTACCCACCTAATCGATTATTGTAAAAGCAAATACGAACTGTCGCAAGACAAATTGTCCAAAGTGAAAGAAATCTTGCACCTTAACAAACTTTAAATATTTCACATAAACTTAGATAAAAAAAATATCTATCCATTCAATGAAGATGTTCATTCTACCAGGCAGTTTTACAAAAAAAAATGAAAAAAAGAAGCCTACAACAAAAATAAAAGAGATGAGGGAAATGATAACCATTGGTAATCAATTAATGAAGTTGGATAGCAAGCTTTAACTATAAATACAGATCTCACGCTCATGCGAATAGAACACATAAGAACAAACTTTAACTATCAAACGATATTAAGTGAAAAAACTTTAGTGCAGTGTTGACATGCTAAATATCTCAAATAACTGCACAAAAACAATGTATGAACTGAAACAATCAGCACGAAAGGCTTAAACAGATGACTACTGAAGTCCATGAAAAGAAAAGGTTATGTACAAACTTCTCACCCTTGAGGAACTCCTGTAGAAACTTCCAGCCTGCTCAAATTGGACAAAGAAATAGGCGACAATTAAATAACTCGATTAATTCAACTTTACAATGCTGATCACAATAAAATAAACCCATAACAATCTGGCTAAGTGTTTCATATAATTTCAAGTCGAGTTCACTTGATGTTCTTCATTTCTATGTGGGGTCTCAAAAACTTGTAATTTTTTTCTTTTAACCTTTTTCTTTCTTGACAAAATTCATGCTAATGGAGCAATTTGTAGGTTTATTTGATCACGTGCATAATATGCACGTTACTTAATGAAGTCCTGGTCTATAGGGCAGTCCTTAGGAGTTTGTTATTTCCAGTTTTTTAGCTTTTTCAGTTCAAGTCGTTGTATTTCCTGTGGCTATTTAAGAGCCCACTTTTGATGAATAAGATGTAGCATTCCTCCCAATTGTTATTTCCTTGCTCTCTGCAATTTAATTAACAATTGGTATCAGAGCYAGGTTAGGAGTGCTGTGAGAGTTAGAAACACAGAAAGTGAGAGAAACAGAGAGTAAGGGATCTCACATAGCAAAGGAGAGATGGCTTCAGATGCGTCAAGTTTTTCCCAGCCAAACATCCCTAAGTTTGATGGGGACTATGAGTACTGGAGTCTCTTAATGGAGAATTTGCTACGCTCCAAAGAGTACTGGAGTGTTGTTGAAACTGAGGTTCCAACGAACAATGCTGAATTGAAGCTGAAAGATCTCAAGGCCAAGAATTATCTATTCGCTGCGATAGATAAGAACGTACTGAAGACGTTCACCAAGAGGGAGACAAGCAAGCAGATCTGGGATTCCATGAAAGAAAGATACCTGGGAAATGAGAAGGTAAAGAGAGCTCAGTTGAACAGACTTAGGAGATCATTCGAAGTTCWGACGATGAAGAACGGAGAGTCCGTCGGAGATTACTTTACAAGGGTAATGATTATCATCAATGAAATGAGAAGCTGTGGAGAATCTTTGAATGATATCAAGATTGTTGAAAAGATACTTCGTACTCTTACAGAAAAATGGAACTATGTTGTTTGTTCCATTGAGGAGTCCAAAAACATTRATGAATTGTCTGTTGATGCACTACAAAGCTYTCTTCTAGTGCATGAACAGAAATTTAAGAAGGACAATGAAGGAGATGAAGAGCAGGCTCTAAAGATCTCATCGGAAGAGAGACGAGGAATGCGTGGCCGAGGTAGATCGTCACCAAGAGGAAGAGGCAGAGGTAGAGGCAGGTCTATGTACAGCAAAGCAACAGTGGAGTGCTATAGATGCCACAARCTTGGGCATTTTTCTTATGAATGCCCAGAMGGGAACAAAGAAGCCAACTACACCGAGGAGGACGAAGAGATGTTGYTGATGGCTTATGCAGAGGTGGAAGAAAACATGAAGAATGATGTATGGTTCCTTGATTCTGGTTGTTCGAATCATATGTGTGGTGATCAAGCAAAATTCTTAAGTATCGATCATGAGTTCAATACAAGTGTGAAGCTGGGAGACAATCATCGGATGGATGTTACTGGAAAAGGAGATGTTMGGCTGTGGCTGAATGATGTAAGTCACATCTTAACAGATGTCTATCTTGTTCCAGACTTAAAGAACAACCTGATCAGTCTTGGACAACTACAAGAAAGAGGGCTTGCAATATTGATTAAAGACGGGGCTTGTAAGATTTATCACCCGGTTAWGGGGCTGATTATCGAAACACCAATGAGCAAGCAAAGAATGTTTATGCTGCATGCAGGAGCAGAAAGGAAAGAAGAGAAGGATCAATGTTTTCTCACGAAGAATCAGGAGATCACAAMCTTGTGGCACCGACGGTATGGTCACCTAAACTACACCGGTTTAAAGAYCTTGGAKACAAAGAAAATGGTGCGAGGACTACCATCACTTGAGAAGGTTGATGAAGTATGTAGAGATTGTCTCATTGGCAAACATCATCGTGAGCCTTTTCCGAATAAAGGCACATGGAGAGCACACGAACCACTCGAGCTGGTACATGCCGACATYTGTGGTCCTATTACTCCTGCCTCCAACAGCAAGAAGAGGTACATACTCTGTTTTATTGATGATTATAGCAGAAWRTCATGGGTGTATTTYTTAGTTGAAAAATCAGAGGCATTRCATCAATTTCTTTGCTTCAAGAACTTGGTAGAAAAGGAATCTGGTTCTTTCAYTAAGTGCCTACGCACAGACAGGGGGGGAGAATTTACCTCAGCAGCATTCAAGGAGTTGTGCAAAGAAGGTGGAATAACGAGGCAACTTACAACCTCGTATACGCCACAACAGAACGGGGTTGCTRAGCGTAAGAATAGGACCATTTTAAACATGGTACGAGCTATGTTATCAGACATGAAGATGCCGAAGACTTTYTGGGCYGAAGCAACAAACTGGAGCAATTACATCTTGAACAGATGTCCAAATGCAGCTCTTACAGATGTCACACCAGAAGAAGCCTGGTCCGGAACTAAACCATCAGTTTCGTATTTCCGTGTGTTTGGCTGTGTTGCACATGCACACGTACCTAAGGAACGTAGAGTAAAGCTTGATGATAGAAACATCAAGTGTGTTTTTCTGGGGACCAATGAAAGTTCCAAAGCCTATAAACTATTTGATCCAYTTTCAAACAAAATTTTGGTTAGTAGARATGTTGTTTTTGAAGAAGACAGGCAGCATGATTGGAATACAACTCACGAAGCTGATAAAACAGTGAACTTGGAATGGGAAGATGAGGAACGATGTGAAGCTGAAGAAGGGAGTTTTGCTCAACCTTCAGCAAATCAAAATGAGGAAGTGATATGTGATCTGCCTTCTAATCATGGGAGGGAACCAGAGTCAAGTACAAGAGACAGACCAGAGTCAAGTACAAGAGACAGAAGAGTCACCCAACCTCCTGTCTGGATGCGTGATTATGTTTCAGGAGATGAACCGGAAGATGGTGACGATGATCCAGCTGCAAACTTGGCAATGATTGCAACCTCTGATCCTATCACATTTGAAGAGGCAGTGAAAGAAAAGCATTGGTTAGAGGCAATGAAGAGTGAGCTGATGTCCATCARAAAGAATAACACATGGAGCTTGGTTGACTTACCTGAGGGAGCCACTTCCATAGGTGTAAAGTGGGTTTACAAAACCAAGCTTAATGAGCATGGGGAGCTGGAGAAATACAAAGCGCGCCTGGTAGCCAAAGGCTACTCTCAAAGGTATGGTATTGACTATCTTGAAGTCTACGCACCAGTTGCCAGAATCGAGACAGTTAGAACTATCATTGCACTAGCTGCACAGCGAAATTGGAAGATATATCAATTAGATGTAAAATCTGCATTTTTACATGGAGATCTCAATGAGGAGGTGTATGTGAATCAGCCAAAGGGGTTTGAAGTTAAAGGATCAGAAAATAAAGTGTACAGGTTACACAAAGCYCTCTACGGACTAAAACAGGCACCACGTGCCTGGTTCAGTCGAATTGAAGAACATTTTGCAACAGAAGCCTTTGAACGATGTCCATATGAGCACACTTTGTTCACCAAGAAAAACAAAGCAGGTAATCTTCTCATCGTCAGTATTTACGTTGATGATCTTATATACACAGGAGATAATGAGCAGATGCTGAAAGAATTCAACATCTCGATGACGAAAGTTTTTGACATGTCTGATTTGGGGCAAATGAAGTACTTCCTTGGTATTGAAGTCTCACAAGGTCAGCAAGGGAATTTTATAAGTCARAAACGATATGCAACAGAGGTACTCAAACGTTTTGGCATGATGGACTGTCAAGCGGTTAGTACACCAATCGTTCCTGGAACCTGCCTCAACAAAGATGAAGAAGGCGAMCTTGTGTGTGAATCAAACTTCAAACAAATTGTAGGAAGCCTCATGTATCTCACAGCTACTAGACCGGACATCATGTACAGTGTATGTCTGGTTAGTAGATACATGAGTAAACCTACTGAAATGCATCTACAGGCAGCTAAAAGAATCATGAGGTATTTAAAGGGAACTTTAGACTTTGGGATCATGTACAAGAAAAC